TGTTCCCAGCTGGTGGCAGATGCTCCGGGTCACATTCCTCCATCGTGTTTGCATTGAAATGCCCACCTGGAGCTCCTGGCAGGGCAGGGCAGGGCAGGGCAGGGCTTTGCTGGGCTCAGGCAGTGCCTGGTGAGCTGTTTAACTCTGCCTTTGTGTCTGAGCCCCCCTAGCAAAGGGAATATTCTGACAGGCCCAGCGTGTCTGGGAAGGAACATGTCTGATTGCCTTTGTGATAAACAAGCCCTAAATCACTTCAAAGCTGAGGCCAGAATCGCTGGGGGGGATTACAGACAGTGAAATAGCAGGGGCTCAAACATGATTCAGAGATACCAGGGAAAACCACAGTAAATTCTGCCTCCTTCTTAATTAAAAAATAAGAAAAGGCAAAAGGAAGTGTTCCATGAGTGGACTGACTGAGACACTCTTCTTCAGCCAGCCAGCTGGCATTTAAAGCCCCAAGGCTTGGGGAAAGCTGTCCCCCTGTGGGTGACATCCCAGGGGTTCATCCCAGCACATCCCTGTGCTGCAGGGGAAGCAGAAGTGTTTAGGGAGGAGGAGCTGCATAATTCAGGGGGTTGCAGGAGCTCACTGACAGCTTTAACTCACTGGCAAAAAGCTGTTTCTGCAGCAAGACTCATCCTCCAGCTGCCTAAGCATCCAAAATTCCCAAATCCATGCTTGTGTTTCAGGCACAATTTGAAATTTCCCCCCTCAGCCTGCAAACACAGTGAGGCCAGGCCCTGGCCCAGATTTTCCAGGTGAATTCCAGCCCTTCCCCGCTGTCCTGACTGGGATGTTAAAAAGGTTGGAAAATTTGATCTTGGAGGCCTTTCCCAGCATCAGGGATTCTGTGGGGCCAAGGAGATGCAGCAGGAAGCCCCACGAGCTGCTCCCAGACTCCCAAAATGACCTCAAAAGCATCATTTTCCAAGCTCACCAGATTTCAGGTGAATTCCACCTTTTCTCTGGTTTTGTCTCTCTCTCTCATGGCCACTGTTGATTTTTCCCTGCCACTTTTTAATGTCTGAGTGGCCTCACGTCCTGTGGCATTTTCCAGCACTCCCTGGAGCAGAACACGACCCTGCTCAGCCAAAAGGAGCAGCACATTGGGCAGCAAAGAGCCCAGCTCAGCCCTCCTGGGAGAAATCCTGGGAGAAATCCTGGGAGAAATCCTTACAAAACAAACACTTAAACATAATAAAGCCAGGGCAGCCTCAGCAAAAACCTTTTGGCGGACTGCAGCCTTTTCCAAGGTGAGAAAATTAATTCCCTGAATGCCTTGTAAGGATTTTTATTTTTTCCCCTGCTTGGAGCAGATATTAAGGGTTTGCCCAAAGAATTGCACTAAAATCTTGCTGGTTCTAAGAAGGCTGATGTGCCTTGCTGAGGAGCAGGGGAAGTGCCATGGAACCAGGAGCGCCCCAAACCTCAATTCTGTGCAAACTGAATTTTCTCCCTTTCCCTGTGATGTTCCCCTTTTCTTTCTGAAGTAATGGCCTGGTAGCACAGCAGCAAACAAAGCCTCATTTCAGCCATTTCTGCAGCTAATTACTGCACCTCCTGATTGCTGACCCCGGCCTAATGCTCCTCTCTGAAATTGCTCCAGCTGGACTTGGAGTCTTGAATAGGAAATTTCCTATCCAGCGAGGCTGCTGGGGATTCTTTATTTATTTTTATTCAGAGGAAATTCCATCCAGGATGGGGAGTTCAGCCGTGTGCTCTGGATTTCCTCCTGGATAATTTGGAGGTGATCCCTGTACCTGGTATTTTTTTAAGGGAAGTTGAGAGCAAGGATGTTCCAGGGGTGGTTTTCTGTTCCTCCCAGCACACTGCTGTGGGCAGCACCAATCCTTGCCCCAGAAAGAGCTGTTTAGATTCACAAATTCCATGGTTCCATGACCCCCCAAACCCAGGCTGGGTGGCAGATTTAGGGCTCTGAACCTCTGAGTGCCCTGTTGTACTTGCAGGAGGGATACAAATCTTTCCCTGGGCTTTGTTTGGGTACAAAAGATTTTTCCCAAGGCCACAGAAGGTGTGAGGAGCACTGAACTGCCAAAATGAGAGCCTGAACTGCGATATCTCCTCCTCAAACTGTCCCCACAGAGCTGAACTCCACCTCTCACTGCCAAGAACCTCAGGCTTTAAAAAACAAAAAACAAAAAACCAAAAAAAACAAAAAAAAAACCCAACAAAAAAACCACAACAACAAAACAAACAAAAAACCAAAAACAACAGGGTTTTGGGCTCGAGTTTGTGGGGCTTTATTTATTTTATTTTTTTTTTAAGAAGAGAAGGAGGCCAGCAGCAAATTGCACAGGAGGAGGGTTCCCTGCTGTGCTCTGAGGCAGAGGAGAGGAAAGCAGCAGCTGATCAAAAGATGTTGAACTTGCTGGGGATGAGCTGCCTGCTAGGAGCAAACAGCAAGTGCCCCTTGATTCCCAGCCAGGCCCTTTTCCCATTATTCTGATGGAAGTGGAGCTCACACCTGCACTGATGGAGAGGCTGGGGAGCTGCTTTTGGAGGGCACAACATGGTTTTATGGCAAAGGAAGGGGACAAAACCCCTCCCTGGAGCTGGGGAGAGCTGGGGAGGGAGCAGGAGGAATTCTGGCAGGTCAGGGAGAGGCTGAGCAGGAGCCAGGCACGTCTCACACTGACGTCTGCCACAGCACAGAGCCTACAACCACCTCCTTGCAAGAAAAAGAAACACAGAGAATTCACTATTCCTTCTTACATTCAAATCACTCCCTCCTACATTCACATCATTGCTGTCAGAAACATCTTGATTTTCCACACCTAAGGGGCTATGGAAAAAAACAAGCATTTCTGCTAAAAATAAGGGCTTTTTCCCCCCCCACAAGCTGTATTTATTCAGATCTCTTTTCCTCTAAAACGCAGCATTATTTTAATTTTAATTTAATCCCGTATCTGCATAATTGCAGCACTGCCAAACAAACAAATCACAGTCGCTGGGAAGCAGGAGCAATGCAAAACGTGGATTTAACCAAATTCAATTCCAAACATTTTCCTGTGAACATTCCCTCCCAGAAGAGGCACACTGCTCACCGGAATGTCCAGGTTTTCATCCCAGCAAGCATCTCCCCTTCAAACGAAATTTCCATCAGAGGATTTATATCACAGTCAGATCCAGCACGGAGAGAGCACTCAGGAAATCAATGCCAGCCCCAGTTCCACCCCTCGTGAAACCATCCCCTGCTTCTGCTGATTTATCTCCTCGGCGCTTCTTGGGGTGCTGCTCGTGGGGAGCACGGGGTCTGGAAAGTCACTTCCATTTCCACGTGTCGGAGCCCAGCACATCCCCCTGGCTGCCCCCAGACCCTGGCAGGGGTCAAAACCACCTGGGGCTTCCATTTTAGCCCATGGGAGAGGCTGCTGACTCTGTATGAGGAATTACAAACCACAAGGCTTTGAGCAGTGTGATAGCTAAATTGACACAGGGTGGAAAAGTAGAATTTTGGGGTTTTTAGAATGTAATTCAGGGGTACAAGATGGCAGAATCTGGGGTGTCCCAGCCTTTTCCCCTTTCTCTTGCCCTCCATGTCTTGCTGTGATGGTGACACTTTTTATTGGTTTAAAGCAGAGATTCACAGGTGGTGGGCACTGGCACAAATCTGTAAATAGACAACACGGAATTTTGAGTATCTGAGGTGGGAGCTGCCCGAGGCTCAGGGGAGACTGCTCGGGCTTCTGTACCACACAGAGCTCGGCAGGTCAGAGAGAGAATTTCATAGATAAGGAAAAATAACCTTGAAACCTTAACCTCACATATTCCAGACTTCTTCTTCAGCTGCCAGGCTAGGGGAACAAGGACTGTTATGATTTTGGGGTCACTCCAAGCAAAGCAGACCCCGTCACCCACAGATGTCCTGGGTGGAAATAAATGATGGAGAGGGAGTGAGGACAGCCCAAAGGACACGCAGGATTTACAGAGCTCGGGGTGGCTCCAGCAGGGAGCAGGGCTGGAACAGATCAGCTTGAAGGGACTTTAAATTTCCCTCCTCTGGTTCCCTGCCTTAGCCATCCCAGTTCTGGGATTCTCGGAGGGTTTTGAAGAGCAATTGGTTTGAAAATATCCCCGTGGTTCAGGATGTCTGGAGCTGCTGCAGGACAGGGATGTTCAGGGCAGCACTGCAGTCATTCCACACAACTCCCTGCCAACATCAGCAACACCACCCTGCTCACCCAGCTACCTTAAAAACACCATTTTTGAGGCATAAAGGTCAATAATTTTGTTATTTTTGCATCTAAACAAGCTGTTTAGGAGGTTTCTGCTCTGCTGCTGCTGCCAGGCCCTGCCAGGAGCTGCCTGGGCTGTGAACTTTGGATGAGAACGTGAGATAATCAGCAGCAGATTTATCAGCAGGGACAAAAGACTGAAATGGAGTTGAAAAAGGGAAAGGGAAAAAAAAAAGTGGGGGGATGGAGATCTACGAATAATTTTAGAAATAAGCTGCAAGTTGCACAGTCACAAAGCGGAGGCTGGAATGCACTTTTCCAGAGTTTGTAAAGACTCATTTAATTTCTATAGAAACTGAGCAGCAAACAGGTAATTTTCTCTGCAAATTGCTTCTATCACCTCTGGAATGCTCTGCAAGAGCAATGTATTTCCCTCGTGTCTTCTTAATCCCCTGTTATTTTCATTATAAATTTAATTAAGCTCTTGTAGAGAACATTCCATGACATATGAGCTGAGTTTTGTTTTTCTGCTGGAGCAGGGACAGAAAGGAGCTGCTGAATTATGTGGCAATTGGATTTCTTTTTTTCTGGGTAAATATTTCAAATGACACCGAGCAGGGGAGACATTTGTTGAATCAATACAGCTGAAGCTGAGGGAAGGAGCTGCACAGGAAGGTCTGAGCATCCCAAGAATTCCTTCTAGCTGAGCCATTCCTCCTCAGACAAAATTAGGGAATATCAAGAGCAGGTAAATCAGGGAAATGCCAAGGGGGTTTTTTTGAATTTTTTTTTGGTGGTTGCAAAAGAAAAAGTCCATTTTTTACACTCCCTGCAACCCAAAATGTCACCAGCATTTCATTTCATAACCTGCCCAGCTCCCCACCCTCACCAATGGCAAATGTTAAAAATGAATCATTTAATTACAATTTATTTTAAACGATTTCTAAAGGCTCTGGGGCCAAAGCATCATGAAAAACTGGGTTTAAATACAATACCCATCAATACCTTAAGTTAATATAAAATGAAAACCACATTAGTAGAGGTTGGGCATTTTAACCCCTCTTTTTAACCCATTTAATCTCACATTATCAGGCACTAACAGCTCCCTGCAGAGCTGGGGTTGTTTGTTTCTATTTCAGCCTCCTCCCAGCTCAAGGCCATGACAAGTCACCCTCCCAGCAGGCACGTTTGGGGACGCTCAGGAGCCACAGCAGGGCTGCACACCAGGGAATAAATCCACCAAGAAGATGTTTTTCACAGGACTGATCGAGCTCTGCCACATCTCCCTGAAGGAAACCAGGAATTATTTCCCCCCAGAGACACGACTCAAACCCTGACCTGCAAGGAGCAAAACCCTGTGTGTGATTATTCTGGAATTTCTGTTCCCTGTGCTGAATCCATTTCAATACTCTCTAGCAGTGATTTTTCCTCCCTGCCTTGTTTTATTTGATTCTTGTTACAGAAAGGAGATGTCAGGAAATCTGACACATTGCTGTGCCAGCAGCAGGTGAGAATCTCACGATTCAATTCCCACCTGTGCCAGGGCCATTTTACACCAATTTTCTCTGTAGGAAAACATGGAATGAAAGCAATAAAAGCCGTGGAAGATGTGTGTGTGTGCTGTGCACAGCTTCAGCACTGCCTGCATGAACAGAGGGTGCATAAATCCCTGCTCGGGAAGGATTCAGTGGGAAAGCACTGCCTAAAGTATCACCGAGCCAAAATGTTCTACAAGCTTGGAAAAGAACTTATCAAATAGCTTCATTTCCTTTTGCTCTCTTAGTGTTCACGCTTAAAAACTGCCATTTAAAAAGGGGAGAAATTTTCCTGTAATCAGCAGGTGACACGACAAGGAGCTTTAAGGCATCACAGCTGATGTGGGAAAGCTCAAGCTGCAAACTGCAGAGCTGACAAATTCACAAATCTGTCCTTCCTGGGATAAGCCTGGCTCTGGGGATGGTCACGTCGTTCAGAGTCCTGCTGGCGGGTTTGCTGCCCGCAGCCTCCTTGCCCTGGAGCAGGGCGATGATGCTCTCCCGCTGGTGCCGGACAGCCAGCTGCAGCGCCGTGCACCCCGTGATGTCCTCCACGTCCAGCAGGGCCCCCGCCTTCAGCAGGGTCTTGATGATGGCCATGTTGCCCTTCAGCACCGCCAGGTGCAGCGGGGTCCGGCCCACCTTGTTCCTGGCGTTGACGTCGGCCTGGCACTCCAGGAGGTGGATGACGCTGAGGAAGGAGCCCCTGAGCACGGCGAAGTGCAGGGGGGCCCAGTGGGCCCTCTCGGCCGTGTTGGGGTCGGCCCCGCAGCGCAGCAGCTCGCTGACCGCCGGCTCGTCCCCGTAGCGCGTGGCCAGGTGCAGCGGCGTCCAGTCCATGCCGCCCTTGGCGTCCAGCCGGGCGTGGCTGCCCTTCAGCAGCCGGATGATCCCGACGTGCCCCTTGAAGGAGGCCAGGTGCAGCGGGGTCCAGCCTTTGTCCGTCCTCAGCTCCACGTTGGCCCCGTATTTGATGAGTTTCTCGCAGATCAGGTACTTGCCCCTGACCACGGCCAGGTGCAGGGCGCTGTAGTGGTTCTGGTCCAGGCTGTTGATGGAGATGCCGTTCTTCAGCAGATACTGCACCACTCTGAACTTGCCCCTCTCCACGGCCACGTGCAGCGGCGTCCTGAGGTTCTTCTGCTTCCTCTCCAGGTCGGCTCCCTGGCTGGCCAGCAGCTTGACCAGGCCGACGTGCCCGAAGCACGCGGCCACGTGCAGGGCGGTCTTGCCATCCACCTCCTGCATGTTGGAGTCGGCCTGGCGGGACAGCAGCACCCTCGCCACGTTCTCAAAGTTGTTCTGGGCCGCCAGGTGCAGCGGGGTCCACCCGTCGCGCTCCTGGGCGTCCACGCGGGCCTGGTGGTCCAGCAGCAGCCGCACGGCGCGGTCGTCGCCGTGCTGGGCCGCGAAGTGCAGCGGGCTCCAGCCGTCCTCGTCGGCCGCGTTGACGTCGGCGCCGTGCTCGATGAGGAGGGCGCAGATCTCGGGCAGCCGGCGCTGCACGGCCAGCAGCAGCGGGGTGCAGCCGCCGCCCGCCGCGCGGTTGACGCCGGCCCCGCGGCCCAGCAGGAAGCGCACCTTGCCCACGTTGCCCTGCAGGACCTGCAGGTGCAGCAGGGTCAGGCCGTTCTCCTGCACCCTGCCCAGCTCCTCGGGCGCCAGCTCCTCGGGGCTCCCGGCCGCCCCGTGTGGAGGTGCCAGAGGAACCTCCTGGTTGTCCTTTCCTAAAGGCAGGGAGGCAAAATGGGCGAAAAAGAGTGAAAAACTCCCAGGAAGGGAGGGAGAGCCCTTGATTCTTTGTGGAATGACATGAAATGGAGCCATTTAAGAGATAAGGAATGTAAAATAAGTCCAGACATGCACTGGGACATTTGGCCTCTCTCTCTCACAGTGCCAATTTCCCGAATAGTTAATTTCCCTTTACTTAAAATGTCACCCATGTGAAAAATCATATGAGCCACATCCTTCTACAACAAAACAGACAACTTTTATAGCTTCCCCTGCTTTAATTTTCAATTCTAAAGCCAGCTCCCTACTTACCCCCACTCCTGGTGTCTTGGGGGAAGGCGATCTCCTCTTTGTCACTCTTCTTGTCAGAAAGGAGGAAAGGAAAAGGATAAAACTGAGTGTTTATTTGCATTCTGTAATGTCTGCATGAAGTCCTTTGCTGCTGCTCTGCAGTTTTGTGTCATCATTTGAGAGTTTTTGATCCAATCCTGTTTTTGCACCCAAAACTCAGCTAAGCCAATCATGGCAGAGCAGGAATGGGGGAGCCTGAAGATGATATCTGGCTATCCATGAGCCTTTCCTCCTAGTGCTCATTTCCTCCCAAACCCACACATATTCTGCTTCCTGACTGCATGGCAGCATCCCAAAATTATTTCCTTTGTTGTTTAGGGACCCCCAAGCCCCTACTTCTTCAAGCCTCTGGATTCTTGCACAGCTTGGCAAAACCTCTAAATACCAATAATTCCCAACTCCTATCTCTCCCTGTTTTCTAGGGATAATTACTCCAGTAGCTGAGATTATATCATGACTATCCAGAAGCCTGATTTTTTTCTTAGCCGGAGAAACATGGGGATTTAAAACTATAAAAAAAAAAATTCTGTAAGAGTTGTTCAAACTGGAACATCACCAGTTTTGTGCCATGAATGGAAGCCTGTGATTCTGTGTTTGCTTGTGTTTCTTTTAGTGGCTGATTGATAAACCCACTTCACCTGAGCAGGTCCAGGAAAGGGTTTTCCTCTCAGACTATTTATCATTTAGTGCATTTGTTAATTAATTTGCAAGTGTTTTATCCCCATGAATGAATTACAGAGGCACAACCTGTGCAGACAACCCCCAAAGATGCTGAGGTGCACCTATGGGAGGGAAAAAGCTTCGAGATCTGGTAAGAACAAGGAGCAGACTCAGAGGACTTTCCTGGGAGGCCCAGGGGGGATCTCCTCACCGGCTGGCTCCTGGAGATGGCCGGTTTGTGGGACATCTTCCTGACCAGGCGCTCGTTCTCCGGGTCCTGCACCAGGCTCTGGATCAGAGCCAGCAGCACGTCCGTCTCCACAGGGATATCTGCCAGGGCAGAGCAGTTCAGCTTGATAGTAAAAAGGTTTTAAAATTATGGGGATTTAGGGTTAAAAGGAAAATTAAGCTTAGTAGGCCCTGAGAAAAAATAAATACCCTGGGTACATGTAGGCCTTGTACCTTGCTACAACTGCACCTGTGTAGCTAGTACATGATAAATGATATAATTGTTAGATGTGATGATTGTTTAGTAATTAAATATAATTACTGTTTAATCATAAGAATAATCATGAGAAACTGTGGTCAGGGGCCTAAGAAAGATCACGAGAAACTCATGGTTGAATAAAGTCAATGTATACAATAGAACAATATAAGATTAATAATTAATATGTTATATAAAGAGAGAATATAAAATACATTCAGCTCGAAAGCCGTGTTGGAGTCAGATTTGGGTCTGCACCCCTGATTCCCAGAGCTCTCAATAAAAGCACCTGCAGATAATCATATCTGTGATTATGTGTGCTCCTGAACACTGACAAGCTGTGCAGGCTGCCCCCAGCTCCAGAGCCAGGCAGGACCCATGTGAGGAGGAAAAGGGATGAAGGGATGTGTGACAGCAAACGGGCACCCAGCTGTTAAACCTCGGAGACAGAACTGGGAAAACTGGACACAAACTTATCCCCTGCTTACCAACCCCTGGCTCATCCCCAGCCCAGTCCCACCTGCAAAGCTTGGCCTTTGCTTGGGGTCCTGGTCCCAGCACCTCTTCATCAGGTCGACCATCTGGTGGCACTCCCCGGGCCAGTCGTCCCTGACGAGCTCCAGCCCCGGCCTCTTCCCCGCTGCCACCTTCACGAGGATGGCCATCATGTTGGCCCCTGGAAAAATCCAGCACACTCTGGGTGTTGCCCCTGGGAAAAGGGCTGGAATGAGCATTCCACGGCTGCAGGGTTTGTGTTTACCTGCGTAAGGCTTTTTCTGCATGAGGACCTCCCAGATGACGATCCCGAAGCTGTGGGAGAGGAGAGACTGTGAGCACTGGGACATTAAGGCACTTATTGCTTCTGCCTTCAGGAGAAATGGGAAGCTCAGGAAGGAAGGATTCCATCTCCCTGAGCAGAAGGATTCCATCCCCCAGGCCGAAAGAATCAGGCTTTATGATTCTGCCTCATGCATCTCCCTTAAGAGTGGGGTCATCACCCTCCACAGGGTCTGAGCAGTGCATGAGTGACTTGGAGCCTTTCCTGGCAAAGTCAGGCTCTCAGTGCCTTTTTTCCAATTTATTCCCATTGAAGTCTCGAGCCCTTGGCTCCTGCAAGTTCCTGTGGCTGTGCAAATCTTCCTTTCCCTCTTGCCTTGGGTTGCTCTGTGCTGCAAAGGCTGAGGAATTTCCAGACACGGACACAGAGCTCGTGTGAGTGTGCTGCAAAGCTCCTTGCCCAAAAGGACAAAAGCCAAGCTGAAATCTCTTCTCTGCCTGTTTCTGACCAAAATGAGACTGAACGCTGAGGCAGATAAGCCAATGGTGGAATTGTTTTAAAATTAATCTTAGCAGTGACTGTGATGAAAGAGCAGCACTGGCTGCTGTGGGCTCTGATCTCACTCGTTTTTGTGGGAACGGGGTGCGATGGCACCTGGGGCAGTACAGCTCTGTGGGATGATGATCATCCCCAGAGAACCCCCTCCCTCTCAGTCTCCACCACAGAGGTCGGGGCACCCCACTGCATTCCCCATGTTGTAGGAGGCAGAAAACCTGAATTTAAACAAACTGAGGCAGTGTTCACCCCCCTTGCTGGGTGTCACCCCCCTGGCTGCCCTGGGCCTGCCCTCACCTGTACACATCATACTTGATCCCCGGGGGTTTGCTGTTCTGCAGGAACATTTCGGGGGGGATGTAGCTCAGCGTGCCCCTCAGAGCTGAGCTCTCGATGTACTGCATCCTGCTGGATTGCTCCATCCACTTGGACAGCCCAAAGTCCGAGATCTGCAAGCAGGAACAGGGAAACTGCCCCAAAATGCTCACACTCTCCCCTCCTGCTGCCACCTGGACATCTCCCCCCATCTGTGGGATCAGGGACAGGAGGAGGTGTGAGAGCTGGAGCTTGACAAAACCCTGACAACCTGCAGCCCAGCTGGAGCCTAAATTCCCAGTGCTGACCCAGATCCCTGTTTGATCCTGAGAACACCGTGTAATTTGCTCACCAGCTGCTTGTTAAACACCCCACAGGTCCCTCTCTGATGGAGAGCTCCTGAAGAACCTGATTTTCTGGGATTCTGGACTGGTTTGGCAGAACTAGCCTGGCTGTGATGTAGGAACGGCCGTACCTTGACGTGCATGTTCCCGTCCAGGAGGACGTTCCCTGGCTTCAGGTCCAAGTGCAGCAGAGGAGGGCTCATGCTGTGCAGGAAATTCATGGCCAGGCCCATCTCATGGATCACCCGGAATTTCAGCTGCCAGGACATCCTGTGGGTGGGGAGGATTCTCTCCAAGGAGCCCCTGGCCATATATTCCATCACTATCCCCAGAGGGTTGTTGCACACCCCGTAGATGGTGACAATGTGCTGGAATTTGATTTTCTCCATCTTGCTCGCCTCCTCCATTAGACAGTTCATGCTGGTCCTGGAAAATTGAAAATAAAAAATAAAAAATACAGTGGGAGCAAGAAATGTTATCAGTTGATTCACAGGCTCAGTAACTCTGTAGTAACTTAGTGACACCCAGCCTTTCCAAGCACTGCCTACCCCAAAAAGATTCATCCCAAATTCCCCCTGGAGCTGATGACAATGCTGCCACACAGTGATCTTTTGCAGATTAAAATCTGACATGGATGGTGTTGTGACTCCTCACAATGAGCTGAGTTTTATTTGGGCGAAATCAGCCACCACAGGGAAAGAGATGAAAAACTCGTTTCAGTCCTCAGCAGCGAGGACAGGGAGCTCGTGCTTGTGACACTGCTGAAATGGCTTTAAACTGCCGCAGGGCAGGGTTAGATGGGATGAATCCTTCCCTGGGAGGGTGGGGAGGGGCTGGCATGGGATTCCCAGAGGCTGCCCCATCCCTGGAGGTGTCCCAGGCCAGCCTGGGAGAGCAGCAGGTGCCCCTGGCCATGACAGGGAGGATTGAAATGAGCTTTAAGGCTCCCAAAGCCCTCCGTGGGTCCATGAAATCCCCAGTTCTCCCCTGGCAGCAGGATGCCAGGAGCAGGCACAGCTCCGTGCCACACCCTGGCATCCTGCAGCTCTGCCCATGCCTGCAGCTCTGTCCCTGGGCACAGCAGAGCCCTGGCACGTCTGCTGCTGGCTGACCTGTTTCTCCAAATTCTCCCAAGGTTCCCCCCTCCCGACCTGCTGAACGAGTTTGGGGGAACAGCCAAGCAGCAAAGTGCCAGGAGTGCCTTCAAACAGCACACCCTGGGAACGGAGCTGAGCTGCCAGCAATTAAGCCAGGCAATTAATTGATCTAAAATGGTTCAGCCAAGCAAAAGCTTCTGCCAGATTTCCTCTAGCAGGCTCCTCACAGTGAGACTTACCCATGGGTTGAGGAATCTCAGGTATTTTACTACTATTGATAAGATATGGAAGTAAAACTGATTGTTTGACCCTTCCCCCCACCCCCAGAAACAAGAACGAAATGCAAATGTAGAATCTGCAGAGCAAACTGAGGACAGTCACTGCTCAGCCTGAATTCAGCTGTCGTCTGTAACAAGAAATCACAAGAGTGAGATTTTTATCCAGGCAGGTTCCTTCCAAATTGAACGGAATAAAATTTTAAATGAAATCAGTGCATCAACTCTGCTGTTTTTCCATCAGCTCTGCCTGTACTGGATGCGTTATCAGCCCTGGTTGTGATTACCTGGCCCTGCTCCATCTCCAGACACAAGGTGGGCACCAGAAAAGTCTCTGGTGGGAGACAGAGCATGAAGCAGAGAGGAGCTGCAGGTGCACCACGGAGAGGAAAGACGTGTCTGCAGGCTACGGGAGCAGGGCAGCAAAACCAGCTGTAAATCCTCTGCCCCTCACCTCTAAACCTGCTGCTTTTGGTGATGAATTCAGTTTGATTGATACACCTCAGCCCAGTGTCCAGTGGAAGCTGTAAATAACCCACCAGGCTGCTTTTATCCGTGCCAAGGTGCTGATCTCAGCCCCAGCATCCAGCCCTGCTCTATTCCCTGTGTTCCTCGTGTCCCTTTGCACATCCACAAACGAGCCAGGGAAAGGCAGAACTCCTATTTCCCACTCCCTCTGGGTACCCAGCAAAAGCTCCTTCCCGCAGAGTTTTACCCCCCAATTTATTATTATTTCCCCATTTATTATTATTTCCCACTCCCTCTGTGTACCCAGCCCTTCCCAAGGAGCAGAAGCTCCTTCCTGCAGGGTTTTACCCCCCAATTTATTGTTATTTCCCACTCTCTCTGGGTACTCAGCCCTTCCCCAGTCCTTCCTGCAGGGTTTTACCCTCCAATTTATTATTATTTCCCCATTTATTATTATTTCCCACTCTCTCTGTGTACCCAGCCCTTCCCAAGGAGCAGAAGCTCCTTCTGGCAGGGTTTTACCCCCCAATTTATTATTATTTCCCAATTTATTATTATTTCCCACTCCCTCTGTGTACCCAGCCCTTCCCCAGCATCAGAAGCTGGGTTTTTCCCCCCATCCATGCACCTGGCATGGGGAGCCCAGCAGGGGTGGGTTACCTGTCCACGCTGGAGTCCTGCAGCAGGTACGGGGAGCACTTCACTGCATAGACCGTCCTCCACCTCCTGTGCTTCACCTGGTAGACGTGGCCAAAGCCCCCACTGGCCACCCGGAGCCACTCATCCTCGAAATCCTGCTTGGTGAACACGGTCAGGCTGCCCAGCTGCCGCTCCGTGCCCATGGCACAGCTGGTTCTGCCCGGCTGTGTGGCACCAGGGGTGGCACCGGGGCTCCTCTGCCCTGCCCTGCCCTGCCCTGGGAGGTGGGGATCACCTCAGGGCAGCTCCTGCCAAGAGGTGGATCCTCAGCGAGGCTCCTCAGCTCCAGCCTGGGGATGTGGCTCTGCTCTCTCCAAGAATTCCGGGTGGGAAATGGCACAAAGAGCAAGAATTCGGTGGCTGCTCCACGCTGAGGATGGGATTCCTCACCTGGGGAAAGGCAGGTGGGGAGGTGGGGCAGGGTGATGCTTGAAGGAAAGGGAGAAATCTGCCAGGCAGAACTGTACATGAGAGGTGTGGAAAACACCCCAGAAAGAACAGAGGGGAAAAAACCAGAAGTAGCTGGATGGAGAGGTGGAAAACACTCCAGAAAGATGAAAAACTGAGTTTAAAAAAAACCCAGAAGTAGCTGGATGGAGATGTGGAAGACATTCCAGAAAGATAAAAAACTGAGATATAAAACACCCCCAGAAGTAGCTGGATGGAGAGGTTCTAGGGAAAAAAATAAATAAATAAAGACCAAAAAAAACCACTCTAGAAAGATAAAGAATGGGGAAAAAAAACACACAAAAAAAAAACCCCAAACAACCAGAACTGGTACATGAGTGCATGAGCCTGAAATACCAGAAAGTGCATCAGCAGAAATACCAGAAATGTGGTAAACCAGAGCAGTTCCCTCAGGGATAAAATAAAATCTGCTGGCAGCTGAAAAAGGGTTTAAAAACTCTCGTCTGGGTCTTGTGCATTTGTTTCTTTAATGCCTCAGCTCTCTCTGGAGGCAGCTCAGTGTCAAATACAAGGTGGTGCTGATTTTCTCAGTGCTGCTGCAATGCAAATAATAATTAGCACTGCTGCAGGGTCATTGTCTCACTGCCAGGAAGCCCTGACCTGGGATTTTTAGTTCTGTGGCAGAATTTTGAAGAAATCCTTGGAGGAAGCCTGACCCAGGTGGAAATGTGAGTTCCTTCTGTTAGACTGACGCGAGGGGCTCTGGCAGTGGACTCCCTTCTTTTAAGGAAAGAAAGGGGGGAAAAAGAAGGGAAAAAAAAAGGGAAAAAAAATGTTCTGCAGCCTTTTAGGGAGAAAAAAACCCAATGAGAAGGGGATTGTTGCCAATTCCCTGGCACTCCCCAGGAGATGCCCACCTGGAGTGATGCCCTACTCCCCTCCATTCCCAGCTGCCAACACAGGTTTGGAGCTGATGTGGGATCCCAGCTCATCCCTCTGGCTGCCCTGGCTGGCCCCAGACCCTGGCAGGGGCTCACAGACCTTGGCACCAAGTCAAAACCACCTGTGGGTTCGATTTTAGCCTGTGGGAGAAACTGCCAACTCTGTATGAGGAGTTACAACCACAAGGATTGGAGTAGTGTGGTAGCTGAATTAACACAGGGTGAAAAAGTAGAATTTTTGGGTTTTAAAATAATGGGTTCAAGGGGACAAGATGGAGGGATTTGGGTGTGCCCTGACCTTCTTCTCCTTCTCCTTGCCCTCCATGTCTTGCTGTGCTGGTGACACTTTTCTGTTGGTTTAAGGTACAGACACACTGTCCCACAGAAATGACAGATACTGGCATGTTATTAACATAGGACAGGTAGTTTTTGGTATAAAATGGTAACACCAGCCCAAGGGGTGGGAGTCTGTCACAGACTGACCTGCTCCTTGAGAAAGCATGTTAAAGACAAAATAAACCACTTTGAGAAGCTGACCCTGCGCATTCTGACTCCTTCCTTGGCTCTACAGGCTGGGAGAAAAAGATGTTTTACAGTCTTGGGGTCACCTGGACCTCCAGAGCCCCGAGAGCTGAGGAGAAGACATTCCCCATTCCCTCCCCTGCAGGCACAGAGCAGACAGAGGCTGTGAGGCTCAGGTTTATTTATTTATTGCAAAGTGCAGCAGGAGGGGATGCACAGGGGAACACTCAGCCCACGGCTGCACAGGGGCAGCAGCTGCTGCTTCTCTCCCTCCCCACAACCTCCAGCTGCATTTCTGGGCCAGCAGCTCAGGAAGGTTCCAGCTCTGAGGGCAGGAGGAGCAGGAGGTGAGGGGAGCAGGAGTCCTGCTGCTCATTCCCGGCACAGGGAGATCCCTCCCTCCCTCCCTCCCTGCCTGCCCAGAGGTGCCTCTCCTGCTCCTCTCCCGGTGTTTCAGCTGCTGCAGGAGGTCCTGGACAGGATGGAGCAGCCCCAGCTCCTCTGGGACAGGGGGATGTGCTGCCCTGATTTTTAAAAGTGTTTTCTTTTAAAGTGCTCATAAAACTTCTTCAGCCTTCTGATAATGTTTGCATATTTGAGTTCCCACACAATCTCAGGTATAGATAGAATAGTTTACATATTTCTCTGTAGGTGGAGAGAAATGATTGATTGATCTTTGGACCAGTGTGGCTGGAGAGGTGGTAATTCCATACTCCAATTCATGGTCACCTTTAGAATTCTATAAATGCCAGATGTTCAAATAAAACTGGGTCTTTTTCTCTTTTGAACTTACCAAGCTTCTGCGTGCTCATTTCGGGGCTCTCCACAGCACCCCCCTGGCTGCCCTCCCCCTGAAGCCCCCAGGAGAGCCCTGTTTGCACCCCCATCCCACAAATGCCTTTCCCCAGTGCATTCCAGCAGATTCCAGCCTGCTGCTGGAGCTCTCCCACCATCACTGGGACCTGGAGCAAACAGCAGCAGGACTGAAGGGCAGGGAGGAAGGAACCCGGCTCCTCAGGGAGGGGAGAAGCTGGACACATCTCTGGGGCTCTTGGCTCCTGTCCACATGCCCAATTCCATCATTTCCCCACCGTTTCT